GGAGGGGAGGGGTAGAGCAGCACAAGGGGGTAGGGTCAAAAGGGAATGAAAAGGGGAATTGAAGGGGTGGAAAAGCAGCAAAAGAGGGGAGGGTAAAGGTTGAAGGGGGAGATGGAGGGGTTGGTGATTTAGGGTGGGCGAGCGTGGGTGAGCGAGAGAGTGGGCATGACACGGTCGTGCTTTGGGGCGGGGGGTCGGATGAGGGGTTTTGATGTGTGTTGTTGAGTGCGAGTGTGGGAGCAAGAACAAGGGTGGTTATGCGTGTGGGTGACTGCGGGCGAGCAAAAGAGGGAGAGGCACAGGGACAGAGCGACACACACACACACACACACGCGCGCGCACGCGCGCGCGAGCAGCGCCCGCAGTGCGCGCCCACCGTCTCTCTCTCTCTCTCTCTCTCTCTCTCTCGCTCTCTCTCGCGCACACACACACACACACAAACACACACACACACAAACACACACACACACACGGAGCACAGACACACACCTCACAAACGCCGGATGCACATACGATGGACCCGCCGCTTGCAGCGCGAGCGCACACACACACACACACACACACACACACACACACACACACGCACGCGCGCGCACGCCCACCGTGATGCGGCGGTACCCCACAAACTCTGTGCCGTGCTCCAGCGCCAGGAACTCCCCCACAGGCAGCGCCAGGGCCCCAAAGTGCTCCGCCATGATCGTGCGCATCTCACTCACGCTGAAGTTGCCTGGCGCGGCGCGGCGGCGGCGGCGGCGGCGGCGGCGGCGGGCGTGAGGGCGCGCGGCGCGGGCGCCGTGCGGCGGAGGGTCCGGCGGTTTGCGTGGTGCGAAAAGGTGGGGGCTGTTTGTGGACGTCAAGGCCTCCCGGCGCCGCGTCGCTGAGGGGATGCCGGGGTTTAGGGCGCCACCTGCAGCAGCGTCCCCTTCTACACCGCCCTTCTCTCTTGAATCGCGCGACGAGAACGGAGCCGACGGGGCCACCGAGGGGCGCTGACGCGAGCCCCAACCACCACTGCTTCAGCGCAGACGATCTCGCGATCTGGTGAACTGAAGATCTGGCTGTCCCCTGGTGACCTGGCAGTGCCCTCACCTATGATCTTGCCGACGCTGTCCACCACGGCCACCGCGCTGATGTGCTTCTCATTCATCAGGGCCATCGCCTCAATGGCGCTCACGTCAGGCGTCACAGCCACCACCTGCGGGGCGCACGCAGCGGCGGCGGCGGTCATGAGCGCAGCAAGGTGGGGCGGGTCTGAGGCGGCGGCTTCCAGAGGGGAAGAGACAGAGAGAGAGAGAGGAAGCATGCGCGGGAGAGCAAGAGGGACGCTGCCCCTCATTGTCCGCACCTGCTTCGGGCACCACCCCAGCTGCTCGCAGGTCGTCTTGGCCAGCGGCCCCAGCCCAGACCTGCTCGGGAGGGGGCGTGTCATGTTGCAGCGCGTGAGTCGCCCACGTGCAGGCCCACATCCCGCGCGGTTTGCTGGCACTTCACGCCCGTGCTGCGAAAGCGCCGCACTCCTCCCCCCACTCTTTGGCTACACACACACACACACACACACATACATAGTACGAACATGAACATGTGTATATACAGTTTTACACCAACACATACAGATACTTATATAGATACAGACACACAAGCCACGCGCCTGTTCATGGAGAGGAACCTGACGATGTCGGTCTGACTAATGATGTTGACAATGGCGTCCTGGTCATCGTACAGCGCAAGGCGGTGGACCACCGCCACGTGGCGGCGGCCCCTGGCGATGGCCGGGTGCCGAATGTGTGTGGGTGATTTGTTTGTGGGTGTGTGCATGCGTGTGTGCGCGTGTGTGGGGCAGAATGGCCATTCTGGGGGATTTGCGATGAGTGCATCATAGGGGCAAGGGTCGCAAACAGGATTGAAGAGGGGGCGGAGTGGGGAAGGTGGCTGTTGAGGCTCGCGAGCACAGAATGTTGGGAGATGAAGCAGCCCTGGGAGGGGAGCGGGCGCGAAAGTCACCGCCGAGGGCGGCGCGCCCGGCGCCGGCCGCGCGCACCTGCTGCTCGGCAGCCGCGCCGGCGTCAGCCGCGCCGACGCCGACGCCGACGCCGACGCGCTCCCCACAGACGCGCCGCTCGGCGTCCTCGGCACCCGCGCCCCCGACGCCGACGGCGTCGCCGACGCCGGCGC